TTAAAATAAATAAATAAATAAATAAATAAATAAAAAATGGCACATTAATAAAGGTACAAATGAAAATGGCACTATAGTTTAGCTTTTTAAACTAATTACTGAATTCAACAATATTAAAACTTCATTTTTCCCCTTAAATTGCATTTGAGATTAGTTTTACTTATATTCTTTCCCATATTTTAGAACTGCAAGAGTATTCATTAAAATGCCAATTTTCGGGGCGCCTGGGTGGCTCAGTCAGTTAAGCGAATGCCTTCGGCTCAGATCATGATCCCAGGGTCCTAGGATCAAGCCCCACGTTGGGCTCCTTCCTCAGTGGGGAGCCTGCTTCTTCCTCTCCCTCTGCCTGCTGCTCCCCCTGCTTGTGCTCTCCCTCTCTCTATCAAATAAATAAATAAAATCTTTAAAAAAATAAAATAAAATGCCAGTTTTCCATTCTGCACATTAAAATAACTTAAAATTACATTTCATGAAGAATATTAACATGCAGCCCTTCTAGCTTCCATAATTTTAATTAACTAATCATTAAGCTTTAGGTCAAAATCTACTTCATCTAATACCACACATAAAAACTTAAAAAAATAGGGGCACCTGGGTGGCTTAGTCCATTGGGTATCTGCCTTCGGCTTGGGTCATGATCTCAGGGTCCTGGGATCAAGCCCCACATTGGGCTCCCTGCTGATGAGTCTGCTTCTCCCTCTCCCTCTGCCCCTCCCCCTGTTCATGCTCTCTCTCTCTCTCAAATGAATAAAATCTTTAAAAAAGACAACTTAAAAATAAAGTTTTCCAAATATTAGTTCAATGAATGATTAGTAGTACTTTATTTAACAAGGTTTTGGTAATAAAGACAATGATCTGAGAGTATTTGGAGATTCTCGTAACAGAACCCAACCATGGAATCAATGCCAAAAGTTTGAACAGAGAAAAAAAAATGTAGGTTTTTCTCACCCTTTAAAGAGCAGTATTCAGAGCATAGGAGAATCACAAGATAAAACATCATCAAACTTCCCAGCAACTTGAGTAGAGATGTAGAGGCTTCACTATCATAAAATAGCTACATTTTTAATCATTATAAACGGAGATTAAAATGGCTACTAAACGACCTTCAAAGTAAAACTCACAGGCTCAGCAAACTGGAAATTATAATGACATTTTTAACTTTTACATAACCAATGATCTACATAGAAGAATACAGTATTTTTAGAGCTATTAACATTGATATAATTAATATAGGATATTAAAATAGTAATGTTATGTCTGGTTTTGACCAATAAGTCAGGTACAATAATGCCAGTGACTTCCCTCCCCTCACTGTGTCACTGGCTACTCTGGAAATTTACTTCAGGAAGAGTACAAGTGTTACTAGTGGGAAAGAAAATGCAGAAGAGGAAAGGGTAGATCAAATGAGGCTAGGAATAGAAAAGATACAAAACTTTTCTGAGTGTTTTTTTTTTTTTTAATCTTAGAGCATCGAGGAGGGAAGGGCAGAGGGAAAGAGAAAATCCTCTAGTGAACTCCTCGCTGAGCACAAAGCCTGACGTGGGGCTTGACCCCAGGACCCAGAGATCATGACCTGAGCCAAGACCAAAAGCCAGCCGCTTAACCAGCTGAGCCACCCAGGTGCCCCACTCTGACTTTTTAATAGCTCCTAAGATCTTGTTATTTTGATGGTGTCCTTTAGCCCACGGTGATCAGAAATCCATCATAACAATATAGGAATCAAACTTTAAGCCATGGATCACATAAGTAAAGAGAAGAAAAGCATAACCTCTGATACGCTCTTTCTGAGAGGCATGATAACAGAGCTCGGGGATCTCACTGCTTTAGTTACTTTTAAATCTATGGAAGATTCACTGCTCTAAGTTCATAGCTTTCACAACAGAGAGTCCTTCTCCAGCAGGCAGTCTGCCTCTCCCTCTGCCTGCCGCTTCCCCTGCTTGTGCTCTCTCTCTGACAAATAAATAAAATCTTAAAACAAAACAAAACAAAAAAAACCCCAAAGTGTCCTTCTCCAGCACAATCAGAGGTCAGGAGAGGACCGTCAATCCAGGACATTCTTAAATAGGCATTAGCTGCTAATAAATTATAGAACACCTCAGTGGTCTTGTCCCTAGGATTAGTGATTAATGAAATGTCAACAGAATTGATGAAAGATATAGTTATGTCTTTAGTTAACACTCAAAGAGATTCAGACAAATTCCCTATGGGTTTACTTTTCAGCTAACAGACTTTAACATCAAACCAATAATTGGAAAACAAGCATTTACCTTCCCTTGGTTTCACAACTGGTTTTTCCTTAGGTGGAATAAAAGCTTTGTTTCTTTCCTCTTGTCTTTTACTAAGAGCTTCTGCTTGTTTAGCCTGCATTATTAATAAGAAATACATTAATAACACAATTTATCATTAAACAGGAATTCAAATTTCTATGAACTGTGCTATCAATGTTGTGAGCTAGACACAGTCTTACCTTTATGGCTTCCATTTTCTGTCGCTTCTTTTGACTTGCCTTCAGAAAATATTCACCACTAGCCAATTCTTTATCAATCTGTTGAAATCAGTATTTACAATTACATCAGAAATAAGGTAAATGAGAAGTCATCCCTAAGAAAGGCACAATGTCCTTGAGGTAAAGACAGTGAGGTCAAAAATTTATCATCAATTCATAAAGGCACTGACATAAAAAGGAGATGTGCTCTACGCTGAAGGGAATACAAGCAATAACCATGGAGGTAGGAAAGAAGGTGATGTGTTCATGAAATATACAGCAGGCAGTTTTAGATGGGTTAGAAGATCAATGATTCAGAAAGGTGTGAGGAAACTAGGAAGATAATCTGGGGTAAGCTTGAAGAAACCTGAATGCCAGGTGAGAGGATAGGCTATGATTTAGAAATGACTCCAGGTTTCTGAGAGAAAAGAAAGAGACCAAAGCAGCATTTAAAAGGTACAGAAGAAAGAAGAGATAAACGCTTGAAATAAAGTAGTGGCATGCAAAATGAAAGGCAAGAATTGTTAGGATTTGGTGACTAATTCAATACTAATTAGAGAAAACACTAGCTTATTCATTCAATATATAATTGACTTATCTCACACTTACACAGCATTATTATATCTAAGGCAATGTTTTAAAACTCTTAATAGTTACTAAGCTCTTTACAATTACTAATCATTTAATCCTCATTAACAATCCTTTGAAAAAGATGTTTTTATTATCCCCATTTTATGTATAGGGAAACTGAAGCACGGATGGGTTAAATAAATTGCCAGTCATGAAGCAAGTAACTGGCAGAGTAAGTCAACTGAGACATCACTGTTTTAAGAAGTTTAGCCATAGGGAAGAAAGATAAGGCAATTATTAACTACAGGACAGGGCCATAAGAAGTATACCAGGTGTTATGGAATGACAGCTGGGTAAATAAGATCACTCTACTTTCCCCCAACAAACAGTTTCTTTGTTTGCTTCCCTTTACAGAATAGACCTCATGAACCAACACTTCCATTGTTTTATCACCATGATCATTACTTCTTTTTCCCCTCTGACCTTTCATCAAACCTCTGAAATTCAAACTCCAAATACAGGGCTATGGAAAAGACAAGACAGTACACAGAAAGGGATGTGTTTACATGCTGAGAACAAAGCACTAGTAGAAAGGAAAGACTTTAAGATACAGCCAAGGGAGGGAATCATGAAATAAGATCCCTCAGGAGACAGGCTCAAAGACAGAACTCAAAGAACAGGTAAAGAAAGAATTGGTTCAGATGGAGAAAAAATAATTATAGGTGAGAGAAAAGGAAGCTGAAGGAATTCTCACTTGATGGTCTTAAATATTTCCATAAAATAAAATGAATGTCATCTGCTAGGAGTGAGAGGGTGCTTCAAGAATTAAGAGGACAGGGGTGCCTCGGTGGCTGAGTGGGTTAAGCGTATGCCTTCCACTCAGGTCATCATTCCCTTGGGCTCCCTGCTCAGCATGGAGTCTGCTTCTCCCTCTCCCTCTGCCTGCAGCTCCCCTGCTTGTGCTCTCTCTCTCTCTGTCAAATAAATAAAATCTCAAAAAAAAGAAAAGAGAGAGAGAATTAAGAGGACACACAGAATTACCAGACAATAGTGAGGATCTACCTGAGGTTGGAAACGTGAAATTATAGTGGATTTAGTCCAAAGATAAGATGTTCTCCAGCTATGTTTAGTAGCCACATTATGGGAAAGAAGCCAAATTTTAGGACTGATCAAATTTGAGAGTTTTGCTGCACAGGTGTGAAAAGAAGGAAAAGGCAGCATACAAGAAACAGTGATGGACAAGAGAGAAAAGGAAATTTGGGGGAAAAAATGAAGCCAGAAAACAGGTGATAAAATGAGAGGCATTCATAACTTAGAAAAAGGATGGATGTGAGAATTTAAGATTTCAAAACTGGAGCAGTCATATAGCACATGGTCACAGGAAAGATGCTAAAGCAGAGTGAGAGCATTAAGGGTTAAATCGTTAAAATTTTTTTCATCCATGGAACAGGTACTGTGGCTATAGGAGCACAACTGACAGCAACCACCTAGACATAGTTTACACTCCTACTGTGAAGCCCCCACCCTCCGCGCTCACGCACTTAGCTCAAAATAAGCCTATTTACACTTACCTTTAGTTTCTTATACCTGGACACACACATACAAAGTCTACCTAAATTGCTCTCCATAAAGTTTCCAACAAAATAGATTAAAATGGTTTCCCCCTCATGTAAAGAAATTCAACATTTAATACTGACCTGACTTTCTGGCTGTGGTGGTGGGAATGGTGTGTACTCTTTCTTGACAGTTTTTTTCTTTGGTTCCTTGCGTTTATTCACATTCTTGTGCTTAAACTGTGGCAAAAATCTTTCCCAACTTTGTGATCTTAATTCAGAATCTTTTGCCAACTCTCGTTTAATCATTAAGGTCTTTAGTCATGGGGATATAAGAACAAAGTAAGAATTTTTAATTTTATAAGCCAAGCATTTGTCAAACTAAGACATTACAAATACTCTTCCTATAAATAATTCAATTAAAATGAGTAGTTCTTGGGGCACCTGGCTGGCTCAGTTGGTTAAGTGTCTGCCTTCAGCTCAGGTCATGATCCCAGGGTCCTGGGACTGAACCCTGCATCGGGCTCCCTGCTCAGCGGGGAACCTGTTTCTCCCTCTGCCTGCAGCTCCCCCTGCTTGTTTGTTCTGTCTCTGCCAAATCAATAAATAAAATCTTTAAAAAACAAAACAAGGGGCGCCTGGGTGGCTCAGTTGTTGAGCATCTGCCTTCAGTTCGGGTCATAATCCCAGAGTCCTGGGATCAAGCCCCACATCAGGTTCCCTGATGGGCGAGGAGCCTGCTTCTCCCTCTCCAGCCCCCCCTGCTGTGTTCCCTCTCTCGCTGTCTCTGTCGAATAAACTAAAAAAAAAAAAAAATTTTTTTTAATTAAAAAAATAAACAAAAAACAAAACAAAACAAAAAAACCCGAGTAGTTCTTAATCTCCTCAGTAGGAGAAAACAATTCCATAAAAAAAAGTAATCTCAAACCAAGCATCAGAAAACCATTAGAAACTTGGATTAAATGCAGAACTGCCGGGTGCCTGGGTGCTGTCAGTTAAGTGTTTGCCTTCGGCTCAGATCATGATCCCAGGACTCGGGATCGAGCCCGAAGTTGGGCTCCCTGCTCAGCAAGGAGCTTGCTTTTCCCTCTCCTCTGCTTCGCTCCTTCCCCCTCTCTTTCAAAAAAAAAAAAGAAAGGCAGAACTGTTCAAATAAACTGAGATGACACTAATTCAGCTTTTCAACCATTAGTTCATTAAAACCTTTAAAATTCAACTTAATAGGAGGAGAGTTCTTAATTAGCAATGTTCCCTGAAAGCAGGAAGTTTTTGGTAGTACTTTAATTATCACAGGGAAAGAAAAAAGTAAACTTTCTCTTGATCAGATAAAAACAATTTTCTCATATTTCTCCAACTCCATTTGAGTTTTGCACACATTGGGACATCAAAGGATGCAAACCAGGCATCAGATACAAGACAAGCTCTCTTTATCTTTAATGTCCCAAGGCAACTCAAAATCATTCTTTCACCCCAATCTAAGAGTGACTTCATAACTTCATCAAATTTAAGTGAACTGCTTAACAAATACCCCTCACAAAATAGTTCATTACAGCATGGTTACATTTCCAAGTATAATCATGAATGCTGTGCACACAGGAATTAACATCTCTCTCAAAGAGTTTCTAATTTGAGTGTTAAATAAAAAGTTTTAATACAATCTGAAATATCCCAGACTCTACTTAATAGAAAAAGGCAGAATTCTGAAAGATCACATCTTTAAATATAGTAATAGGCCTATCATCCAAGAAAACCTGATTGTTATCATCTACAACCAACTCTACGAAACTTACTTCCTTTGTATTAGAACTATGTCATACATTACAGGATCCCCCTTCAATAGTTTTCAGACTGCACACCACAGAAACCTAAGTCTCCAAGGATGTAACTACAGGACTAGGGTAGAGTTGAGTGGGCTGAACTCTACCTCTAATTTACCCTAAATACTTCTACTTTATCTATTTCTTGCATTAGGCTTCCATAAAAGATTTAATTTCAAGAAAGGTTTCTGTAGCTAAAAGAAGTCTGACAACCACTGTTAGAGTAATATAAACTCACTTTAATGTTATAAATTGGATGAATATTCTTCATAGTATCTAGGACTACTTTTCGAACCTGAAATTTGCAAAGAAAAATGAATTAGTCACAAAGATTTTAACTAAGTGGAACTAAGTGAAAGGGGATTAATATACTGCAACATATCCTATGAACCGAGCAATGACTACCAAATTGAATATAGTAGTTCCTTCAACTGCTTTGAGTGACTTCTAGATCTTTCGTAATAGTCAACCTCTCTTGGACGCAATGAAGTTTCTCAACTTTACTGCTAAAATATAACATATAGAACTAATACAACAACATTTTGGAACTGTGGAATTTAGGCAGAAGGCAGCTAGATTTAGAGTCAGAAAATACGTGCTCAAATAATGGGAATGCCACTTCATAAGGTAAAGTCCTCTTCCAGCTTTCTCATCTGTAGTATGGAAATAAAACTATCTCAAGGCTCTGCTGTGAAAACTAAATAAGATAATATAGTTAGACTTTACAAAACTATAGGGTATTCAATATACTTGTTATTATTGCCACATGAGAAAAGGGCAGATAACTTATGAGAAAGAGGTCTAACACATCTGCTATTATGAGTCCTAGAAAGCAAACAAGACCTCATAGCCAGATCCAGACAACCAAAGCAGTTAACAGAAACCAAAACTGCTCCACAGATTTTCTCATAACACTAAATGTGACAGATAAAAAAGTTCATCAATACATTAAATAAACATTCCAATAAAATTCAGACAAAAATATATATTTTAAAGATGGTTTCAGAATCTGACCTCTACTGGTTTATATAGGTTACTGCAAATGACAATTATCACCATTTAATTCTCTAATCACTTGAGCACATGTAAACGTATTTCCCAAATGTGCTACAGACTAAAATCTTAAAAACCCACTTAAAATTTGTAGTGGAAAGAGTATGATATGCAGACCTTCTAATTCGGAAATGGATACTCTTTAGTTGCCAAAGGTTGGCCATGTATGTTAGGATCTAGGAATGATGATTCCCTCAAACAACATGAAGCACAAAGTATTTACCAATGGGAAATCAAACAAAGCACATTTAAAAAAAAATAGTAATTGCAAAACAGTATATTATCCAATGAACTCTTATAACCAAATTACTTAATTTGTTCTCTGCTGAAAATTCACAGAAGATAGTAAACAGTACTCACCTCTTTTAAGCCACTAAAAGGTCCAATGACTGAAACTGTGTTTCCCTGAACCATAATATAACAGTTTGTTAAGAGTTCCAAAGCCTATATCAAAAGAACAGTAAGTTGAAATTCAGTACACTGAAAAACTAATGACAGAGGAAGACACTTAAGTTTTTCACTGATAAAAAAGTACCTTCAATGTAGATCCTTTGGGACCAATGAGACGTTGTCTTCTTTTTACAAATCTTTCTTTATTTCTTACTAAAGAACCTATTTTAATGATGTCACATGCAACATCATCCTGAAGAATTCGTACTGCCTTTTGGAAAAATGAAGAAAATATTCCATCAATATTCTTTACAAATGCATTTATTTTCAAGGCCCAGGCTAACGAAATCGAAGCAGAAAAATGAAAACTCTAAGAGGGAAGGATGCAGTGCTATATGTTATCTCTAATGTTGATGCAAATAAAGCAAATTTTGTAATTCTAAATTTACCTGTTCAAATGAAACACTCCTTGCTAAAAGTTTTATTAGGTCTCTGGCCCTAATGATGATATATGGATCAAAAGTCTTCTTTGTTGTACACACAGTCATACTGCCCTCAATCAGGTCCAGGGTTGCATTAATGTGCTGCAAAAAGGAAAGAGCAAATACACAATTGTCTAAAAATCACTTCAATTTTAGGTAATTATAGAGCCTATCCTAATCAAACTACTAATTACTGTAAATTAAGTTCTCATTCTATCAACTCCCTCCTTGAAGAAGCTGAGTAGTTGATATAAATAATGAATACTTGATTACTTTCATATTTCAAAGAATATAAGAAACACGCAACTGAAAGCATTATACGTACTTTAGAATACTTTGTACTTATTGGAATAAAGATTACTTCTAGTTTAAAAAATATGTATCAATGCAAATGAAGCCATACTTAAGACCTAGGGTAAAAAAAGCTACATATAGCTCCCCTATCCTGGACCCAGCTCTGATCTGCCATCTGTTCCTTAGGGTGAGAATGGACTTTCCCTTTCAAACTTCTTTCTAATTGGTTTGTATTAGCTAAATACAAAGTCAAAACAAATTCTCACAGGTTCAGAAAGAAGCAATAACTGGAAAATCATGCATTAACTCTTAGTAGGAAGAACCAGATTTCAACAAAGCAAATTAAAATGTCATTTTCTGACAGGAGCATACTCTGAAGAGTATTTCAATGTAGTGAGTGATGAACAATTCAACCTAAGGTTGGGTCTCTATGAGTTTACAAGAGTCCAATCTCAGATACAGACAGCTGTAAAACAGCTTGCGGTTTGCTGAACCACCGTAATACCTAACGGGCACAAACAACTCCAGAGCAGTCACACAGTTGAAATATACATTTTATTTTATTTTATTTATTTTATATCACCACCTAGTGTGTGCACATGTGCCCAAATACACACATATACATGAACCAAAAGTTTCATAAAATGAAACTTATCCTTACCATATGTGATACATTATTTTTTTTCTTTTTACTTATTTATTTTTTGGGTACATTCTTTTTTTAAAAGGCTCATTGTATCCACTAAATGGACTTCTTGCTCCACTAATGAATTTTAATCCACAGTTTGAAAAACAAAAACAAATATACTGTTCTAGGGAAATAGCAGCAACATACAAGGGAAAGTTGGCCACATCCCCATCTTTCATTTAAAATGAAAATTAAGGGGCGCCTGGGTGGCTCAGTCGTTAAGCATCTGCCTTCGGCTCAGGTCATGATCCCAGGGTCCTGGGATCGAGCCCTGCATCGGGCTCCGGGCTCTGCGGGAAGCCTGCTTCTCCCTCTCCCACTCCCCCTGCTTGTGTTCTCTGTCTCTCTCTGTCAAATAAATAAATAAAATCTTAAAAAAAAAAAAAAATTGAAAATTAAGAAATCATCCAGGAACATGCCTCAACTTGAACTATACAGAAACATGGCAAGTATCACAGTATAGAATAGGCATCCTGAAACTTGGGAGTTCACAGTTGAGTTTCAGAAAGTCCATGAGATCCCTAAATTTTAAAGGTATGTGAATTTTTCAAAGTAATCTATTATTGACAAAATTAAAAACAAGTGGAATATAAGAATAAAGCTTAGGGCGCCTGGGTGGCTCAGTAGGTTAAGCGTCTGCCTTCAGCTCAGGTCATGATCCCAGGGTGCTGGGATCGAGCCCCACATCAGGCTCCCTGCTCAGCAGGTAGCCGGCTTCTCCCTCTCCCTCTGCTGCTCCCCCTGTGCTCTCTCGCTCTGTAAAAAAATAAAAAATAAATAAAAAATAATAAAATAAAATAATAAAATAAAATAAAACAAAAAGAATAAAGCTTATATTCAGGCTGTTTAAAATACCAAGGGAACCAGGGGTGCCTGGGTGGCTCAGTTGGTTAAGCGTCTGACTCTTGATTTCGGCTCAGGTCATGATCTAAGGGTTGTGAGAACAGGTGCCATGTTCACCGCAGAATCTGCTTGGGATTCACTCTCTCCCTCTCCCTTTGCCCCTCCCCCCAATCACTCATGCACAGGACACTCTCGCACTCTCTCTCAAGATTTTTCTTAAACAAAAACAAAAAACAAAGGAACCAAATTAACCAGTTATGCCAGTACCTTAAAAAAAAAAAAAATCTATCAACATACATACTTATTTAAAAGTAAAGGTATAAGAACAGAATCTCAAAGAAATATATAAAATGTGCATACATGTTCATTCAAGGCTTTCTGTACCAATGGCCAGCACTCTTTCAGGTAAGCCTCCCTATATTTTGGGAACAAAGTTGCAAAACTGCTCTCTTCCAAGAGTCCTCTGGGATTGTCCTCTTTGGAAAAAGCCGGTTCCTTCCAACCATCAGGAACAGTGAGGAGTTCTGATTCATCTGAAGAGGGGAAGAAACTTACACATAAGATTTTAGCCTTCTTTTGGACACTTTTTTGAACACCTATTTGCATACATTTACATGCTTCCCAATACTTTCCTTGTAGTTCCTGTTCCTATGCTCTTTAGTCAACAAAGAACATGCCTCGGTCATTATTATCAATACACTGTATTAAAATTAACTGCATATACTTCAGCCTCGTAAGACAAAGTTCCTTAAGGGCAGGACCCTCCTTGGATCCGCAGTAATTAGCATATGCCTGACAGACAGTGGGGTACTCCAGAAACTTCTATTGCATTAAACTATTAAAGATCCAAATACCCCTTTGTTTACATGACTATTTTCAATATAACCTTTTAGACTTTCCTGAATTGCAGCCTTGTGTGTATATATATACATGCATATGCATATATATTTGTGTTTGTGTGTGTGCACACACACACATATACTTTCAGTTACCAATCACTGGTACAGGGTTTTAGACTTTCCAAAGAGTTTTCATATGCCTTATTTCTGTATACACCTTCATGACAACTGTGAAAGGTAGTGGAAGAACCAGTATTATTTTCCCTGTTTTATAAAAGACGTTCAGTCCAAAAAGATTAGTGACTTGTCTAAGGGGACACAAAGGTGATTCAGTCTAGGTCTGCTTTTAATAAAATAAAATGTCTCCTAAGGGCCATATATGATCTCCTACATCATTTATTAAAACTCCTGGTCCTGGATTTTAGGAATCTCTTAAATCTAACAGCTATGCTTTAATTCCGTACTCCTCAAGGGTATGACCCACAGGCCTGCAGCATCAGCATGAACTAGGAGTTAGTCAGAAATGCAGTTCTTGGACTCCAACTCAGACCTACCAAATCTGAATCTCTGGAATGAGCCCCAGGAATCTGTGTTTTAATAATCTCATCAGGAGATTCTTATGCACACTAAGTCTGAGAAAAGGGCCTTTGTTAAATTTGCTTGTAAACTTGCTTCTCTTTCTTATACTCACATCTACTTTGTTATTTCTGGTTCAAATCACAGAGAATTAGCTAGTCTTCATACATCACTTCCCAATATCCTTAAAAAAACAAAATCCCTCCAATTCTATAACTGTGATTACTTAAAATGTTTATCTTACCAAGTTTCTACCCAATTTAAACACTTCAGTGGCTACAAATTAAAAAACAAAAACAAAAAACCTAGCAAAGAAATACACAGGAGTTTTACAAGAGAGGAAGTGCAAATAGCCCAAAAAACATGTGAAAAGATATGCAACCTCACTACTAATAAGGAAAATTCAAATTAAAACCCCAACCAGACACCATTTCATACTTACCAAAATGACAGAAATTCAAAATGCAGATAATATCAAGTGCTAGTGTGGATGTAGAGCAGTAAGAATTCTCATCCACTGCTAGTGGAAGTGTAAACTGACACAACCCCTTTGGGAGTGATTTAGCATTACCTGCACATACCCTAACTTTCATGGATTCCAGTCCCACTTACATAATCTGAAGAAAACTCTTGAACATGCAAACCAGGAGATACACAAAAAGATGTTTATAGGAGCATTGTTTATAACAGCAAACAATGGGAACAATCCAAATGTCCACCAACAATAGAATGATAATATAAATAAGTGTATATTCATAGAAGAAAATCTCATCAATATCAAATGAAAAGAATAAACTACAGCTACAAGTATCACCTTGACTCAATAAGAAAAACAAAGTTTAGCCTAAGAAGCCAGAAGAATGTCTACAGCCCTCTTGCATTCATATAAAATTCAAAAACTGACAAAATCAAACCACTTCGTGCATAGGTGGTAAAGATTATGCAGAGAACAGAAGATCAAAACGATTCAGGATGGTTACCTCATGTCCTGTAAAGGAAAAGAATTATGATCTGGGAGGTGCTCCTAGGGGGGTCGGGAGTATGGTAATACTTTTTCTGCATAATGGTTTTGAGTGCTCCTTTCTCACCTGTTGTGTTTATTCTTCAAACTGTACACAGACTGTACTCTATGTTACATAATTAAAAATAACAGAACTCCTTTAATACTTCCCTAATGCCTACAGAATGTGAGTTCAAGGTTTTTAACACTTCCAATAAGACTGGTTGCTCGGGTCTTGGGCTACTTCTCTAGCCTCTCTTCCTGTCATTCATACTGAAGAAAATGTATAAAACCAGACTACAAAGGAAGACAGCAATTTACAAGTAGGGCAGTCTAAAATTAGAGTACGAGTCGTGTCGTCTAATATTTTAGCGGTTTGACGAACAGCAATGATGATAATGTTACAAAATTTCACTAACGGACAAACTAGCGTTAAGAACACGCCAGATACCTCCTTCTCCTATCTGTCTCACTCCTTTATTATCAGCGTTCACTCATATATACAACGACCTCCTATTCCTACCCCATTCCATCCCTCATTTTGTCAACGACTTCCAGCCACCGCCACGAGCGTAAGATCCTGCGGCGCCCTCCACGATTTCTTAATCCTCTTCCTTTAACAGAAGACAAACTCTGCAACATCTTTACTTGGAAAAGCCTCTAGCAAAAGCGGTTAGGAACACGTGGCTGGCACCATACCTGCCAGTCGGTCCCGCAGGCTTGGCCATCATCCCCAATCCTCAACAATGGTAGGTACTCAACTTCACAGAACACACTAAGGCAGCGTTACACGTCCCCAGCCAGCAGAAGAAAACAATCATAACTCAATATCCTAATATCAGGTTTCAGTTCTCATTCAACCTTACCTCGGTTCTCCGGCTTCGGCTTCTTGTTACGAAATAATTCACTTTTCCCGTCCGCAGCGGCCGCCCCGTTGAAGGAGGAAGACGCCATCTTCAAACTGCTTCCGGTGTTACCGGAAGTGGAACTGTTCTTAAATCCTACCGGATTTTAGTCCTGAAAATCTGTCTATTCAAATTGAGTTCCGTAGAACTTAGACGCGATCTGCGCCATCTCCGTGCGTGCGTACGCTAAAGCCCGCGTTATTTGCACAAACTACAAGCGTTTCTCCTGCGTAGCCAATGAAGAGCCGGAGACGTCTTTCCCAGGATGCATGGCAACCACGGAGTTTAGCTGCATGCTGGGAATTGTAGTCCAGGACTATGGGCAAGGGGAGCCTGTCTTACCCGTAGTTTTCTCTTGGTCCCGGTATCTTACTTAGGACCCCGAACTCCAGAGTTTGGCTATATTAGCGCAATCAGTCTATCCTTGATGTCACTCAGTCATTCATTTGATAATATTTATGTGACTGTCAAATAAGTGCTAGGTCTAAATACGAAAATACATAATCCTTGACGGCAGGGAGTGACAGTAATAGCTAACATTTATTGTGAAACTACTTTTCGCCGGCACTTTATTTGCATTTCTAATTCTCAAACAACATTAAAACAAACAAAACTCCCTAAGATTGATAATTTTTTGTAGGATAATTTTTAAAAGTCTTTGTTTCTGGTGGTAATTTCCTAGAGTCTTGGTATACTTCTTTCTAAGCCAGAAGGATAGTAACTAAGTGACACTTCTGAAGAGTTTCACCTAGCCTAAGATTTCCCAAATACCTCAAGATGTGAAGGGTGGCTCAGACGGTTAACTTGTCTGACTCTTGGTTTCAGCTCAGGTTATGATCTCAGGGTCCTGAGATCAAGCCACAGGTCAGGCACTGCACTCAGCGCGGAGTCTGTTTGTCACTCTGCTCCTCCCCTGCTCACACATTCTCTCTCTCTCTAAAATAAATAAAATCTTAAAAAAAAAAAAAGAGGTATGTCTTGTAAGTGGCAGGCCATGATCGCATCCCTATATTCTTGCAATTTACTCAAAAAGCAATGACAAATCCTGGGGCACTTGGCTGGCTCAGTCAGTAGAGCATGCGACTCTTGTTCTTGGTGTTGTGAGTTTAAGCCCCAGGTTTCGTGTAGAGATTACTTAAAAATAAAATCTTAAAAAAAAAAAGCAGTGACAAATCCCTAAAATAAAACAAATAACAACAGGGGAAAGTAATAAAGTAAGAATCAATTCCTTCAGTGTTCCCAGGAATCCTATGAAGCAGATTTTTATTACTGCTATTTTAAGGAACTCAGTCACTAATAGGTGGTGAGCTAGACATCAAGTCCAGGCAGTCTGACCATTAGCAGTTTCAGAAAGGCTACTAAAAGGATTAATTGTTACAAATGTGTTGGAAGGAGGACTGGGTTTTCAGCCTCATAGCTTTTGAATTTGAGGGCATTAGCTCTTCTGTGGATCTCCAGCCTGCTGTCCCACCATGCAGACATTGGACTTGTAGTGGAGTTCATCCAAATAGCTGATAAGCATATGATGCTTAACCTCACTACTGTCTTAAAAGCATGTAAACATAACTGTGAAATATCACTTCTCACCCACTAGACTGGCAAAAAATAAATAATAAATACATATATTTTTAAATGATAATCTGATGGAAGAACGTGCACTCTCATACACTGCTGGTGAAAATGCAAACTGTCACTGCCTTTTTGCAAAGCAATCTATCAATATAAAATATACACATATTCTTCCACAATAATTCCACTCCTGGAAAACTGTCAACTAGAAGTAAACCACCATTCCATTAGAATGTGTGTATAACTGTGTCATTTACTGCTTGTGTAGAAGCAGTTCAGTGAAAGGGACTATGGGGCCACACCCACCAGTAAGTTTCTTACCCATCCCTGTTCAGTTTCCTGTAACAGGAAAAATAACCTTAACTCTGTGACTTTATACATTAAAAATGCTAAAAAAAAAAAAAAAAAAAAAGCGCTTCACATTTGGTACATATTCAGTGTTAGCTATTATTTATTTAAGGTGGCAAAAAAGTAAAAGCATCTTGACTATCAATTAGAGATATAGTGAAATAAATTGATATTACTTCCATAGTGGTGAGATATTATGCAACCATTCGTAAGAATTAATTAAATCTAATGAAGAGATTACCTAGAGGCATTGAGTGATAAAAGCCAGATACAGTACATATATAAATTGTTATATGTAATTATTTATATAATTATCCCATTTTAAAAATAATTATCCCATTTTGGGGGCACCTGGGTGGCTCAGTTGGTTAAGTATCCAACTCTTAGTTTTGGCTCAGGTCATGAGATCGAGCCCTGAGTCGGGCTCCATGCTAGGTGTGGAGCCTGCTTAAGATTTTTGATCTCCAAGGGATGCCTGGGCGGCTCAGTTGGTTAAGCGTCTGCCTCTCGCTCAGGCAGGTCATGATCCCAGGGTCCCAGGAATCCCAAGGAACCCATTGGGCTCCTTGCTCAGCCGGGAGCCTGCTTTTCTCTGCCTGCCACTCCCCCTGCTTGTGCTCTCTATCTCTCTGACAAATAAGTAAATAAAATCTTTAAAAAGAAAGAAAAAAAGATTTTTGCTCTACCTCTCCTTCTGCCCCTCTCCCATCCAACTTTCGTGCTCTCTCTCTCTCAAAAAAAAAAAATTATCCCTTTTTTTTTTAAGATCTTATTTATTTGACACAGAGAGAGAGAGAGAGAAAGAGAGAGCACAAGCAGGGGGAGGGGCAGGCAGAGGGAGAGGGAGAAGCAGACCTCCCGCTGAGCAAGGAGCCCGATGCGGGGCTCGATCCCAGGACTCTGGGATCATGACCTGAGCCGAAGGCAGAGGCTTAACCGACTGACCCAGACAGGCACCCCAAATTATACCATTTTTATAAAGCAAACCATTCAATAAATATTTATTGAGCATCTATAATGTTTCAGGTTCTGTTCTAAATACTTTGTTCTATGTGCTAGATATAATAATTATATGTATGTATGTGTGTATATGTGAATATATGTTTGTATGTGATCATACAAAAAAAGATTTGGAAGGCTATACATCAAGGTTATAGCCTGGCTATCTTAGGGATGAAAGCAGAAAAGAAAAAGGAAGTAGGCAAAAAGATTAAAAAAATAGGTAAAAAAATAATCTTTAGAAAAATAATGTCAACAAAAGTAAAGGAGTCTGCATGAAAGCCTGGAAAACCTGGGAATCTAGGAGAGACCAAATTTGAGAAATATATTCAGCCAGTCTTGGAATGTTTGCTGTGCAACAAAATGTTTCATGTGTCATGGTGTTGGGATAAAATATGCTTGCAGGATATCAACCTCTTCCCGCAAGGCCCCATTTAGCAAACTATAGATACGGACAAATGATGAATGGCTTTGGCTGATAACCAGCTTGAGTAAATACTTAACCAACCTCTTTTTCTTCAGTTGTAAAAATGAGAGAGTTGAGTTAGATTATTGCTTCTTAAAATTTAGCCAACCTCAGACTCACATGGAGGGGTGACCCCATTCCCAGTTTATAGTTCAGTAGGCCTGGGGTAGGGCCCAAGAATTTGCAGCCTGGAAAACAAGGAATTATCCAACCCCAAAATGTCAGTAGTGCCAAGGTTGAGAAACTTGGGTCTACAGATATTCTTAATTTCTGTGATTCTACGTCAAAGGGCTAGTAAGGGCTTTATTCCAAACCAGGCATGCATTGAAAGTAAAGTTTTTTCCCACTTTTTACCTACCTAGGGCAGAACTTGCCTGGTATCAAAGCCAAAGTTTCCAGGTGGCTGTTCATTATTATGCTGGGCTCCGTGATGGGCAATCCTGCTCCATTTTCCTCAACTCTGCCCATCATTCTGGAATTCTGTTGTCTCATTACCCAAACAATGATACTGGTACATACAGCGGATGCTTAAGGTCTAAAGACACTCATTACCACTTGAATATTAGTCCCTCTGGGCCCCAGGCCCACAGAACATTAATATTTCCTTGGGCCTCTCCTACTATTTCCAAGGCAATCTCCCATCTTTCTTTTCTTGATTGTTCTTATTGATAAGCAACTGCTTTGATTTAATTTTCAGTTATAATATTCTTCCCCCTAAAGGAAAGCTGGAACACATTTCATGATATTAGGTTCCACCAAAGCAACAGAAGGCTTTTTAATGCATGCATGAATATTCAAGATTTAATCAGTGGCATGTGAAATGTATTGATACTGCTGAGAATTATTATTTTATGCAAATAGAACAAGCAAACTACAGTCTTTATTTGTTTACATGACACCGGGGGAATATTTGAAATTCCCTAAGAAGCAGATTTCTAGTCATTTGTTAAATCTATATGCTTCTCCCATCCTTCAGACAGTGGTAACCACAGATGGCCCTTGATGAAATGAACTTTTTTTTTTTATGAAATGAGCTTTTTAGATTATGTATTTCAAACATTTAATGGGTTTATATTTAAACAAGTCATTTCATGATGTTAGTAAGATGGCAACATGGCTTCTCCATTGTTTCAAAATCTCAAATTAAAAGTGCAGTTATCTGATACACTTAGAGACTGGAAATTCAGATTTTAAGACTACATTTTTGCTTTTGATTATCTATCAGTGATTTTAATTTCTTTTGGTTTCTGAGTCCCTTTACTAATGTGATTAAATCAATGGACTCTTTCTCCAGAAAAGTACATATATTTGGGTACACATATCATTTTACCCACAGTTTGATGGATGTTCACTTTTCTGTCACACTCTTTCATAAAACCCCTGCAGGATCAAGCCATCAGGTTAGGTTAGGGACCCTTGCCTTAAAGCAACACGGGAGAAGGTCTCAGACACCCAGATCTGACCTTATGAGCACTCAAATCCCCTGCTTTAGAGTTCTCCAGAAGACACAGAATTAGAATTTTAGTATGCTTTAGTACTTGCATATAAGTATACTTCTCAAGATTCCTTTGATTGCAAATCATAGAAATTTAAATTAACAAGTAAAAAAGTGGATTTATTGTCCTACATACCTGGGAACTAGACCTAGGACCTCAACAATGTCATAGAGATATTCACGCTCTTTCTCTATCATAATATCTCTCTCTTTCTGTGTGTCCTTCCATCTGTTGGCTCTGTTTTTTCTAT